ACTATACCGACCGAGCGACCACCGCTTGTCAGCGAAGTTNGGGTAAAGCAGCAGTGGCATGAAGCAGACCACTCACCTCCAATTAGTGCCGCGGTCAAGAAAATTTAAATCTGTGCATCCACTCCCTCATACGCCTTCACGGTGTAGTGCTTAATTAGTTAAGCACAGAGACAACTTTACATTTACCTTACCCTAATCTTCAGCACTCTATTTCGGAATCCAGATGGGACGGTAAAAATATCTAACTTTCTAAATTTGAAATAAAAATATGTGGCTTCATCTGTCTAGACTGCTCGTAATCTGCTTAGAGTACTCAGTGATATAATCACTCACAGTACCTGAGACCGGAAGAGCTATCTGCGAGCCTGTTGCGCGAGTCGGTGACGTCAGAACCGGAAGCAGATTGGTCGTGACGAATTTCTCTGACACATGACTAGCCAACAAGCAGCAAGCGGGCATCATGGAGCTAGTGCCACATGCCACGTATATTTTATATATAGAGACATTATTACCGCTATGAAGGGAAGAATGTCACTCTTCTAGAGAGGCGTGTTTGTCAGATCTACATAGACGTGCTGGGGAGCCGGGATAGCTCAGTCGGTATATCGACTGGCTAAGGGCTGGACGACCGAGGGGTCGGCGCTCGAGTCCCGGTAGGGTTAAGAATTTTCTCTTCTCCAAGTTGTCCAGACCGCCTCTGGGGTTCACTCAACATCCTATCCAATGGGTACCGGGGGCTCTTTCCCCGGTTAAGCGGCCGGGTCGTGAAGCTGACCACTCACCTCCAACTAAAGTCTACAAAGACGTGTTTTGCCAAGACTAAAATGCGTGTTTGTCAAAGACTACAAAGATGTGATTTACAAAATCTACAAAGGTGAAAAGAAAAAGTCTGCAAGAACGTGTTTTTCAAATGTACAAAGGTAAATATAAAAAGTCTACAACGCAGAATTTACCAAGTATACAAAGATATAAGTATTATGTTTTTGGACATTGTCCATCGCCTTGTCTATTTTTTAAAAAACAGTCCTGTTTCATTTTTAAAACACAACGTTTCGGAGACNACCGAGTCTACTAAGATGTGTTTTTCGACTCTACAAAGACATATTTTTCAAATCTATAAAAGGTGAATAAAAATCTACAAAGGCGTAGTTTCCAAGTCTACAAAAAAGAACCGTCAGTGTTAAATTCAGACAATCTTCGTTTATTTACTGCATCAAGAAACTTTCGAAAGTGGAGGCAGTGTTTTGTTTTTGAGCGTATAAAAATTACCATGTTCATTTCATAAAAATTTCAATACATTGATATAAGTGATACTGTTGCTAACATACCTAACTGCCTATACCGCGCAAACTGGCTCAACCGATAAAGTTTTTGCCTTACATTTGTGAGGTACTCGGTTCATACCTCGGAAGACCAATATCCTGACCGTGATTTTGTGTTCTTTTGTCAGTTTCTCCAGGCTAGTGTCAGAATAGTATCTCAACTAGGCGACTACCGCTCCCTACCACAACCTTCCCTGTTCATCATTCATTTTCTTTCAACCTTTCACGCTATACATAGTGTGAGATTCTGACAGTTTCATTAAATTATCCTTCAATAAATAAAATAACTTCATGTAGCATAGACCTTCATGAGAAACTGCCTGGCGCTCAGCTGGTCAATAAATGTCTCGCCTCTTAGAATATCCGAATGTCAACTGCATTATTCGCAAATTTCATAGACCAGAAACTATCCACAACCGACGAATCCTCAAATCACATTTCTTCAAAGTGTAATTTAATATCTATGCCTAGGTCACCCAGGGTGTTCTTCCCTTTAAGTCTTCCGGCTAATATTTCATATACATTTCTATTTGCTCACGCACTGTTTAACCATGAAGTTACGTGTAGGTCTACATATAAATCTGAAACCTTCTGTTGCCTTCCGCTGCATATGAATGTCTGAAGTTGGCTCAGGTCTTAAACAGGTTGGACAGGCCTTGTCTAGCACCTTGTCTCATGTTTCGATTTGTTGATGCCAACTGAAACCATAAAAGAGTCAGTTCATGTGAGGATTTTCAAACAAAAACTACAGTACGATAACCTTATTACAGGAGAGGTTTATGGCGTTCAATGAACTGTATACCTTCTGTCTATTAACTACTTTTACTTCCGGCTACTTATGTTTTCTCAATACAGCGAAATATTTGGCAGTTCTTATAAATTTTTTCTTAATTTCAGTTATATGACCAAGATCAAGTATTTGAAAGTGACAGAAAGTGTTATTATTATTATTATTTCTAAATATCTATGCTTCGTATTTCTCAATTGTCAATAGTAACTAAGATATGTGATAATGAAATTATTATTATTATTATTACTCTGTTCGTCTGTTTCCTTGTCTGCATTAATGTGTTTTCCTTACCTGTAATAAATATTTGACTTTATGTTATGTTTGTCCATTATGTAATTATTTTCATCTACACTGTGCTGTGTCTGTAATTGGCCTTGTGGCTGTTGGCTCGGCACATAAATAATAAAGAATTAATTGAATTATTATTATTATTATTATTACGTAGCTGTTGTCATTATGTTCTGTTTGTCCTTAATGCAACTACTACTATCTACACTGTGCTCTTTCTGTAATTAGATTTGTTCCTGTTGACTGGCATATAAATAATTAACAATTTAATTACTATTAAGATAAAAAAGTAAAGCTATCCCTGTAACAGGTCGTGAGGGAACATAGGGTTGTGAGACGTCGAGGCTCCTACATTTTCTAGACAATCCGCTCACAGATGGCAGTAAAGTTGTCAGCCCTTTACTCCCCCCCCCGGAAGATTCCTGGTACTCATTTCTGTTAGAGGTTGAGTCGACCTCAGGGCCATAGTGCGGCTGGAAGGATTAGGGAAACTGAAAAATCTACCTCATCGGGACTCGAACCAGTGACCTCGCGGCTTATTAGCATAGTACCTCAACCAACTACACTACCGCGTGCCCCACTGAATTATTATTATTATTATTTGTATTATTATTATTATTATGGGAGCCGGGATAACTCAGTCGGTATAGATACTATGCTACGAGCTGGACAACTGAGGAATCAGAGTTTGATTCCCGGTAGGGGTAAGAGAATTTTCTCTTCTCCACAGCGTCCACATTTGCTCTGGGGCCCACTCATCCACCTATACAATGGGCACCGGAGATTCTTTTCCCTGGAGTGCAGTCGTGCTTCCGTAGAAATCGCCTACAATCTGGTGTGACGGACACCAATCTGAGCGCATCCACGGGTAAGTCCGCTTTTAAGTGTGACATGTGAAAGAAACTTAAGGGCATCCCGCAAACGAGCATTTCATAGCTAAGAGTATAGAAGGTAGCATTATTTACGGAGACTGAGTGTACTGGACCGCCTCTGTGGTCTAGTGGTCAGACTTCCTGGCTACAGATCCAGAGGTCCGGGTTGATTCCCGGGTGATACAAGATTTTCTGAGAAGTAGTGGGTCTGGAATGGGGCCCACACAGCCTTGTGAGGATAACTGAGGAGTTATTTCAAGGAAATAGCGGCTCCGGTCTAGAAAATTGAAATTAACGGCCGTGGGGATACGTTGCGCCGACCATGCGACACCCTCTATCCGCCAAAGTTGGCACTAACTTCGCCTACAAGCGGCAGTCGCTCGGTCGGTATAGTTCGCTTGCGGACTAAAACCATAGAGTTTGTTTCTTTGTTTTCTTTTATCAGTATCTTGAGTGACTGACCAACTCTTAGCTTCTCATGAAGGACTCAGCTCCATGTCGTTTGTTAGTTGTTCATATTAAAAACGTTTGCTGTTGGTAGTGAATTTTCTGGTTCTACAGGATTATAGCATTTTAATAACATATTTTAAACGTTAAGTTACAATGTTAATCTGTTATCACATTTCTACCAAAATAGTTTGCTTAGCCACCATATTGTTATTTTCTACAAGTATTTTCCTGAAAATCTACCACAATAAATAAAAGTTCCATACTTTTCAGAAGCCTACTGATATGCATTCAAGAGTAATAGTATTTTTCTAAATTTACTTACTTCCACAAAGGTGGAATGCCCCATAGTAACATGATATTCATACCATGAAAATCTGTCATCTGGTTCAAATTTATTAAAATTTTTTATTGCTTGTTTAGCAGCACAGTATCTACTATATAGCACTGAATGATAGGATGATCTGAGAATAATTAATTGAAAAGGATGACGAGGGTGCCTAATTTGAGCTAGTAACCCTACGATTTGCCTTGAAGGGACGAGGAAAAGTAAAAAGAACTTAAGATAGTGAAAATCTAAGCAAAGATCTGAACATGTAATGAAAAGGAACCAGTAAACAACAACCTGCAAATATATTTACAAAATCAAAAACATGGGTAAACAAAAGTACAGTTTACCAAATAAAAATTGGTCCAATTTTACATTAGATTTATAATATCTATTAATATAATTTACTCAGCATACCTATAGAGTGCTTGTAAACCTAGAAGGGTATGTGATGCAACAAGCTGATTCCCAGTGGCATCTGCTATACTTACAATAAACAGTATGCAGTTTGAAAATTAGATGTAATTAACAGACGGTTTGCTTCAGTCAAGAACTATTAATTTTATGGTATAAAGTGACGGTAATGAACAACAAGGGGATTGTGATAAAATTGTTGAAATAAAAACTATGTTCCTTTCTCACAAGCACAGTGTGAACCAATTTATCAGTTTCGTTTATGATCGTTTTTCAATCTGTACTGCCTTTTACTAGAGCAATATTTGTGCCTGTAATAATGTGATGCCTAATTAGATTAGATTAGAAGGAGCTAAGAGCAAAGCTGTATTATATGCTGTTATAACATATCAGTGGTTCACAGTGATATTCAATCTATCTCCAACAATTATGTAATACAAATTTGCGGTGGATGTGCTCCGATTTCCTATGAACCCAATACTCCCATAAACCCTTAGAATGAATTTCTTTAATTGTTTTATTCGCATGTTATTTTCTAGTTATTGGTAGATCAAGTGATGATCCTAGAAACAATGACTCCCTTGGACTTCATGGACTTTCGAAATTATTTGTCTCCAGCATCTGGCTTCCAGAGCCTCCAGTTTCGATTGTTAGAGAACAAATTAGGTGTTAAACAGGTCAGTGACATGATAACAACTGAAGCCAAAACTGTCCCCACATTTTAATTGTATAATTCTGATCTACCAAATATGAAAACAAAGATAAAGTAATTGAGAATTTTGTATAATTATTACCTTATAACGTACAGAGTATTTGAAAAAAAAAATACCATTCCAATAGGAAATAAAACTAATTTATTAAACATAGCTTTCAGTTTCTTATTCTTTTTGCATGTTTCGATTTTCTTAAATTGTTTTTCATTATCTGACACGTATGCATTTTTCTTTCATTGTTCTATAGAGAGGATTTTTTTATTGGTTTCAGTATTGTAACATTTTAATACATGTGCATGCCTGTTCCAGATTTATAAAGGCTGAAATTAGTATTCAGCCTTAAAATTTGTAGATATGAAGTTAATTCCTCCTCTTATGCTTGTTTGCATTTAGGAGCATCGGGTAAAATACAATCAGAAGTATTCATGTGCCTTTGGAAATGACCCTGAAGCAATGAAAGCTATTGAGAAATCTGAAACTGAGGCTCCACTAGCCGACTTGATAGAGAGATGGTTGGAGCGCACTCCAGGCCTTGAAGCAGATGGTTTCAACTTCTGGGGAAAATACAAACAGGCTGTTGGAACACTGTTGGCTAAACAGCACAAAGCTGCAGAGGTGAAACCATCATGCGCTCTACACTCAGTTGCAATTAAATATTTCAGATTGGACAACAACAAAAAGAGTTATTATGAATAATATAAGGAGAGGTCAGCCATGCCTGTCTCCCATCACATATTTCAGTTTTGTAAAAATTTTGTGCAGGAAGACAAAATTAAGTCTTGTTTGGTGACTTCAGTTTTGGTTTGTATCATCCAATATGCACATTATTTTATACGAAGCTCAAATCAAATTTAACCTATTTTCTTACAAATAGATCGGCAAAAAGAAAACTGACACATGAAATAAATTATAAACTTCTTTAGGATCTGTTACATTTATTTGAGCATTATTCAGTTTTGTGAATATTTAATGAAATATAAAGAAAAATAATTTCAGACTCTTACACAGCGTAGCTGTAGTGTAATTAGACTTGCATTAATACATTTGTATCATCAATAAATGAACATCTAGATCGGTGAGGTTATGTAAAGTTGCTGAGAACATATTTAGAAGGCGTTTCCACTCTAAAATAGTTCTTGTGATTCTTATACTTCATATTAGAATGCACATCAAACTTTCTAAAATGTAAGAAGAAATTAGGGATTGCATACTATTTCAGTCATATAACACATTTCTGTATAGCATGCAGAATCATATATCTTTTTCTAGAAAAAAATTTGTCTGCAGTCTTAGGCTCAGGTTTAGTCTCAAGGCTAAACACGTAAAGCACTGGCAAATGCACAACTTTTGACAATTTTACCAGTATCTATCGACTGTTTAGCCAGTAACTGAAAATGTGCACAACACAGAAGCCAGAGACAGTGATCTATTAGCATGCATACTACAAATAACACAAGAAAGAAATCTGGATATCATACTACTAAAACACAAATTCAATAAAGGATATCCTTTGCACTAATTTAGTGACAAGATGGCAGCAAATTTTGAGATCATAAATAAATAGGTATGCTGTGAACCTAAACAAAGCACATATTGCACTTTTTTAAAATTCTTTCTCAACATTTATTCAACCCAGAAGTCAGAAATTTGATATTCTTCCACTGTTAAATGCTTGCCATCTGAATTTTGTGACTGGGCGATAAAATATTTGGTACAGTAAACCCTCACTAATCAGAATCGAAATATGAAAACTGCTGTTCACAGTTGAGTACATACTTTAAAAGACACATGGCATTTAGGAAGACAGATGAGTCACTTTTCTGTTCAAACTTTGACAGTTTCTTCAAACCTGCATTATTATGTAAGATTCTTTTCTTTTTTTTTCACGGTAGTGACTATGAAGAATGCCGTCTTCTGGGATGTGGCACCATGTAGAAGCTCATGCTACTTCCTTCTTTGCGGATTTCTCTAACCCTGAAGATGGAGGTGATGTCCCTCCAAAACGTCGATTCACACAAGATCAGCATGGCACCACATCCCAGGAGACGTTATTCTTCTGCCCTGGGGTGGACTAAGCCTCTAACAGAAATGAGTACAGGAATCTTCCTGAGGGAGGGGGGGAGGTAAAGGGCGGCCAGCGCATAAAGCTGACAATCTTACCGCCATCTGTGAGCCGACTGTCTAAAGAAAATGTGGGAGCCTTGAAGTCTCACAACCCTATGGGCCTCTACGGCCTGTTACAGGGATAGCTTTTTCTTTCACCTCTACCTTTATCACAGTAATTAGATGGCTCTCATAATTGTACTGGCAGAGAACAGTTCAGGCAAGATGTACAAATAGAAATAATGAAATGTGAATATGTCAGAGCATGTTCAAAATGACTGACGCAAAAGCGTACATCTTGAGAAAAACTGCCAGGCAGCCGCAATATCCCGAAGTGATTTTCTAGCCACCAAATTTGACAGATAATGTAACATGAATAACAATAGCTTCTGAAACTGCTGCGTACATTTTGCTGCATAGAAAGGCTCACCATTATATGGAAGTGTAGTTTCACCTACTACTAGGCTAAGCATAGTAGGAACAAGATATATATATATATTGTTATGTGCATTAGTGACTAAAGACAGGGTTCAGATTGGTAATTGGATTTATTAACCACCTACAGGTTGTAACTAGAAATAATTATTACACTATTACTGATTTACACAATTTACAATCACTTCACACTAATCTTTTCAGTTCATTTCCACTAGTCTTCATTATCTGTTTCCTGGCAACGGAATTATAACACAGGAATTGTAAAAGTCTCACTAAGTTAGACACTCCCAGTATCGATGTACTACAGCACATGTAACATCACACACTAAGTCTCCTAATTCTTCTTCTGGCCACACTGCTGTTCCCTTGGAACTTTGGAACTCAAGTGAAATCAATTCCCATTCCCGTATTCTCTCATATCCTCTCGGCACGGACCACCCACAGGAAACACAGCCTCTCTATTGTTGTATGGTGCAGACCACACAGAAAACACCTGTCACATGTCAGACTGCAAGTTCATTGGTCCATTACCAGCACTGGGCGTGGCACATTTCGGACGAAGACAGAATGTTCCTCCGAAATATCAGAAAATTTTTACCTGACTACACAGAGTCACAAAAAAAGAGATCATATACACATACACACACAAAATAAAGATGGGCATATCACTCAAAAGAGGTTAATGCAAAGAGAAATATTATATTCTATTTCAATAACATACTTGAAGGTGTCAAATATAATTGTGTACTAATTGTGATTTAACCCTTTAAAGCCCCATGGTCACTACATGTACCATCTACCATTAAAAATCATTGCATTCTGCCAAAAATCTGTATTTTCTCACACTAACAAGCAATTATTTCGCTAAGCAACACTAACAAATTGGTCTTTATAATGGAGATATCATGCATTTCCTGTGAGGTATGAACCAACATTTTAAATATTGTTTACAATAAATTTGTGCTTCAAAGGGTTAAATGAACGTGCTCTGTTTATTCCACAGATATCATCCATGGTTCCTTTGATATTTTGTTTTCCAGTCTGAGTTTGGTTAGCAGTGAACACCAGTAAAAGAAAACATGAAGGAAACTTTACGTTATAAAACAGTTAATAATATGTTAAATTAAGAGTAAAGAGTAATTTATGTCTACTTTATTTCCACCAGTCTCAAGTAAATGAAACTGTGCGCCAACATCAATTCATGGATTATGAGAAACGTAAGGAAATATTTGACTCAATCTTCGATCCAACAATTCATGCAGCCCTGGTATCAAGAGGAGAGAGACGATTCTCTCACAGGGCAATGCAAGGAGCTATTATGATCACATTTTATCGAGATGAACCCCGATTTAACCAACCTCACCAATTACTCATGCTGCTTATGGATATTGACTCCCTTATAACAAAATGGAGATGTAAGTATCTAGTATGACTATGACATTGTTGGTCAGTGACAGAAACAGACTTTGATCTGAATCTCCGACATTTTATTGTGACTACAATTATTATATTAAATATCATTAATGATTTCACTGGATTCACAATTTGAGTTCTTTTCACTTTAACTAGGAGTTAATAAGCATCAGATATTCTATAACTATTAGAAGTTTGCAAAACAAAAATTCAACTCTGGTCAAAATATCTTACATGAGAGAAAGCATTTTCTAAAATCTCAATAAAATTATGAAGTGTCTGGTTTCCATTGTCCAGTTCTGTAACTTTTTGTAAATGTAGTCATGTCATTTCTTGACAACAGTAGAGATCATTAGTTCATACATTCACCTAAACAGACAATAGCACAAAACCAGTGTCATGCCAATGGACTGGTATTGAAAAAAGAATGGGCTGGAAAAAAGTCATGCAGAGCAGGACAGTGGACTGCAAAGGGTTAATGTCATGCATGTGTACACACACACACACACATAACATGCAACAGTAGAGATCATTAGTTCATACATTCACCTAAACAGACAATAGCACAAAACCAGTGTCATGCCAATGGACTGGTATTGAAAAAAGAATGGGCTGGAAAAAAGTCATGCAGAGCAGGACAGTGGACTGCAAAGGGTTAATGTCATGCATGTGTGCATGTACACACACACACACACACACATAACATGCAAGTACTTATAAGAAGTCCTTGTATCACTACTTGATAGAAGTGGAATTAATTTACTAATGACAATATTCAAAGAATATCATGGAAATAGATATAACATATAGTTAAGTTGGTATTTATTAGTACTGTGGGCAGCTCCCACATCTATGAACCCTGACAAACCAATGATGTACCAAGTGATGTTAGTAATGCTACATAATAATAACACTAGTGGTTATTTGTTGTTTCTTTTTTTATTTGACACAGCAGATCTATGCATGAGTTCACTAATTTATTTAACAAAACTCCCCATTAGTATACAATGAAGTTTAATCTGTCAAGCTTTCATCATATCCAATCAATAAATACATATAACAATTTAGAATCACATACAGACATACATGTTTCAGTTCATAAACGATTATTCTCCTTGTCTATTCAAACTGGGACTAACAAACAGTTCCATCTGTGAGAGGTGCTATGACAAAGATGAAACAGCCTCACATACTCTATGAAGCCATAAGGTTCTACCTTACTTAAAGTTTCATCATCTCGACTTCATTTCATGAGGCCAAGTGACTATCAGAAAGCCTCATTAAGAAAAATACTCTGCTCCATTTGAAGTGTGATTGCTAGAGGTCTAAGCATAGCAAGGGGATGCACAACGGTCAGTAAATCACTAGTGTTCAAAGATTGTTTACCAACTACCCCGTTAATCTATTCTAATCTAATCCTCTGTATCTCATTATGACTAGTGTATTTACATTTGGTTTAAAACTATGTTTATTAGATTTGAGTTAGAAAGGTAAATGTAAATTATTATATTTAATGATAAACTGCGATGAAAGATTATTGGAGAAAACTTCTTTGTGTAACTGAAACCACATGTTATGAGTCTATGTTGGGAGTCTACTGTATGGAAAAGTGAACACAATATTGCATGCAGTTGAAAACCCCAGTCAGATTAACCAGTAAATCTACACTTCAAGAAGCGCCATTGTGAGTGCCTAAGACAAACTTCAAAACCAACTGTGATAACAAAATTTATATAGAGAGCATTAGTCATATCTAAAGTGCATATTGTTAAAATATCTTATGTGACAGTGTTTCTTTATCGTAGTGGTGCGCCTCTGAAGATGATTCTTTTGAATCGAAACATGTAAGGTGAATGAGGGCTGAAGTGTTGTAAACTCGTATGTCACACTGGACTGAACTTTTCATTAGCTACTCCGTTATGGGAGGGCTTGAGACTTTGTTATTAAGTTATACGAGTATTACGATGAGTTCACCAGCCATTACAATTTTTTGTCTAATTAACTAACTCTCTGCTACACTGTGCTCCCCTAGTAACTGACAGTTATGATTCATGAAATTTGTTATTTCATGGAACCGAAGGCTGACTAATATTGCCTCAGAAACTCCCCATTTGACTTGATCCCAACTCTCCTTAATCCAATTTACAATCCTGAAATATATTTTCTCAATATTATTTTCTTGTATGTCTCTCTCCAAAGTGGTCTTTTCCAATTAAGTTTTCTAAACAAATTTTTGCAGGTTTTTCTTTTGCTATTAAAAACAGCGCAGAAGTCAGATGTTTAAAAGAATGTTCATTTCAGACAATCATGTGATCATGGTGCAACGTATGATTGGTTCAGCACAGTTGGGAACAGGTGGTTCTTCAGGTTACCAGTATCTACGCTCCACACTCAGGTAAGAATTCTTTAAACAAAACTAGTTCAATACTTGGTAATAAACTAATCTACTAAAGCGAAGAAATATAAATTCAAACTCATACCATAATATTTTTGTTCTAGTGACCGTTACAAAGTGTTCTTGGATTTGTTCAATTTATCAACATTTCTGATTCCACGTGGATATATACCTCCTCTAACACGGCATATGAAGACCAAGCTGTCCATGTCAAGAGATCTGATAGGAAGCTGGAATGATACTACAGGAAGTGAAGAAATTGATATGGCTCTTGAGAGATCTGTAGAGGCGTCTATATGACACAATTTTAATGTATAGTTCAACAGATGAGCAATTTTGTTGAAGATCAGTTCTACAGTGCTGGATTCAACATGGACTTGGTCTTTACACTTGAATCATTGTCGTAAAATGTGTTCTTTAGGGTGTTTAGAGACTAAAGGAAGACTTCCCTCCATTGGAGAACTGAAAAAAGTGCATTTGCATTATCCAGTGGTGCTGATAGGATAGTAATTAGTAGAAGAAATTAAACCTACTGATGGACCAAAATCATAAGTATACTCACTGCTCATCTTAATCAATTTTATTAAAACTACCAGATTACAAACTCTTTTTGTCCTGGTGTCAAAGTGTAGGTCTACACAAACTGCAGACCCAGTGCCTTAATTTACACTGACAGCCTTGCTCATGACTCAGAATCAGAACAGTTATTGTACTTACAAATGTTTCTTGCTCACAAGTTCTGAAACCTTCATATATGTACTGTATAATGTCTGAACAATATAAGATTAGAATTTATGTCAGCAGGCACAGTGTTTAACCTTAAAACACAAAGATCCTTTTTCATTACTAAGCAATCAGCACTTACATATCCTGAGTCAACCAATGGGTTCCATTTTATATGTTAATAATTAAACAATTTTCACAACACTCATTAGAGAACCTATTAAATGTAGTTTTTTGAAGCTCAGTATGGTGGAAAATCTGTGTAAAATATGAAAACTTGAGGGAAGTACATTAATTTTCCTTAGGATAATGTAAAACAACATGGTGTGCACATGAGATATTTTAATGTGATGATGAAAAACGAAGCACTGTAACATTAAGTGTGAACTTAGTATGATGACATGTTATAAGCACACCTTCTAGCAGTGGCAATGGTAAAAGTTCTTCAGAATTCTACTAACAAACAGCAACAGTAAGTGCTTGAAATACCTGTGTTGTTTAGACATATGTTGGTGCTTAGATTATGTACTGTTGGTAGTACTGTAGGAAAGATAAAGGATGAAATAGAAAAAATAACTCAGAGGCAATAATGACACAGCAGAACATGACATTCAACAGTCATAAACTAGTAATGAACAAACACAGGGAAGGTATAAAAATGACATTCACTTGAAATGAAACAGGATACAGTACTGGTAATTTAAATGTAGTTTTGTTTCTATACTCAAAAATTTTGTAACTCTCTTTTAACTAAACATACATTTTTTTGCTAATACAGCTTAATGTGCAACAGAAGAATATAAAAATATATTCCAAAATTTCACCCCTTTACTAAAACTCATTACAAATCATTCCTCATACTTCTTCCCTGTCCAAACGTATCACATCAGTATCTGTCTCACAATATTTATTATTTTATTATTTACTAGTGAAATTTCCCAGTCTTTGTCTTGGCGTTCTTAAAATAAACTGTCCTGAAATAAGGAGATTGTTTATTTATTAAGATAATCTTAAGAACATATACTCCCTTCTTCCACTATTCTATTATCTGCTATCATATTGCCATGTAGTAAATACTTCATGCATTAAATGACTGATTAAATGATTCAAACTATGAAAAACTAGCGATTGTTGTGAAGAAACCAAACTGAGAGAAAAGGAAATAAATTAAAGGGATTTTTTTTATATAAACTGTACCCAGCAAAGGACTTTGAGCTGCAAAGCTGGGATTCATTTCCCAGCAGGAATATCTGCCTTCACTACCAAACGCAGACAAGCTTTGAAAAACACCCGTCTTCCTGTGTAATGTAGACTAATTTTCTGAAGGCAGAATAACTAGAGCTGACCATTCAACTCCATCAACACCATTAGTTCTGTTCTCATATAAACATACACATTTGTATTCTACCAAACAATATTCTGTCACCTGGTTCCCCAACTCGCACTAATTCCTTCTGACTAAAAATAATACAATCAGTTTTAGAATAAACATATGACTATCAGAGAATAATTCTTACCTCTAATTATTACACAGACATGTTCCATGTATGAGTTGATTACCAGTTATCAAGTGATAAAGTTACATAATATTTGTGGTATTAAAAATACTGTAATGGATTTGAACAACGTGCTGCCGGGCAACATGGTCTGACACACAACAATGGAGGAAGCTGTGCTTTCTGTAGATCTGACCAATGCACAAATAGACTGGCTGGATAGTGATCACGTGATATGTGTTTACTGCAGGCCCATGTCCATTCTGCGGCTATATAAGTGACAGAATTCATTCAGGGCAGTTATGTGTGAATAGTAGTGACAGAAGAAATACAAACAAGAGGATAGTAGCAAGCTGGAGGAGTATAGCAGTTATGAGTTACAAGCAGTAGTAGCAGCAGAAGCACGCAAACAAGAAAGCGAGTCAGTTCTCAGTAGGATATGGCCACAAGAAGTTCATAGTTGACGAAGAATTAGAAGACAGCCTGTGAAGACTTAACATGTGATTTGAAGACTTTATGTGTGCTGTAGCACAGTGCTACATAATAATATGAAATAATAATGCATTCTAAATATTAATAATATAAATAAAAATATATCTAAAAATAGTATTCTGCTAACCTGAACACTCCACAACGATCAGTAGATATCCTTAAACAGCTTAATCCTAAGTCTGTAACCAAGATTTTGGGCTCACCTCACAACTGGCTGACCCCCATGGATGAATCCTGGAAATGCCTATGGCTTAAAATAGTCCACAGTTGCTTCATTCCACATCATTTCCAATTCATCATTCATTCATAAAAATATTATTCCATGCTACAAGGTCCAAACTACTGGAACGAATTAAACAACACTCAGACAACTACTAAAACTAAAAACACGCTTCCCGGTACTTTCATGCTCGGTTTCAGCATCGAGGTTGAAACATAAGGCACACTGACAGATGTGCAATTTTCGGCAAGCCTGCTAGTATGCATTCATGATCTTCCGGTGTGTGTACTGGATGAGAAAAGTCCTGCCTATTTCATTATAGCAGAAAAGAGCAACAGCACTATCGCACCACGGTTAAACTGGCCTTGACATTCAATTCATACTTGATATAAACTAACATCTGACTGCTGGATTTTCTCACCTAATGGTGTGATGTACAATGATGGTACAAGATTTGAGGTTCCCACCGCAACGAAGATTTGTATTGTGGTCATCTGTTATGACACCATATGGTTGTCCAATAGAAAGGAACTAAAGTTCAGAGCAAAACAGTGCTTCACTTCAGCTGACGATGGAGGCAGTGTATTCCTATGAAACACTGGCACCCACCTGCCAGATTACTACACAATTCCGTAAACCAGATAACAATATGACAAAAGATTTCAAACAGGGTCTTCTCACAACACGAATATTGTCGTCAGCACGGGGAAAACAAATTATTGTTCTTTTTTTTATATTGCTAGTGGGGTAGGAATAAGTCCCTTGTACTGCAGCCACTTCTGGCCTATTGTACCAGCCCCAGATGATAGCTGAGGGTGATTGTGGAGCAATTGGTGGAATGAAGATTGGGAGGAGAAACCGAAGTACTTGGAGAAAACCTGCCCCAGCGCCACTTTGTACACCACAAATCCCACTTGACCAGACCGGTATCGAACCCGGGCCGCCAGCGACTAACCGCTTGAGCTACAGCACGGCCCAAACTATTCTGTTACTATGTGATCTCTTGGTCATCGCAAAATTATGTGCAAAGCAGTAAGAATGTTCAACAGCTATAACTTCCAACAAGATCCATGCTTATGCAGTCTAATTTTCTTCAAAATTTCAACCTTTCCTTTAAAAAATATTCATCATGAGTCGGCCACTGACCCATGCTTTGCCTTCAGTCCAGATTTGTGAACGGACCACGGTTTCAAGTTGCTTCAGCGTCCGCGTTGTTGACCGGAAAGGCACACCGATTTTCTTAATAAAAACTGGAAAGGTCTGCTGTTGTGCGAGTACAGTTTCAGAAAGACATTTTTTCTTTAATTATTATTTTGCTGCTGGCCCGCGAGTAGGATTCTTCTTAGGAAGAGCTGGCCCCCTCTCTGTGGTGGTCGGGAGCAAGGGCTTCAGTATGCAGACCTCGAGCTTCTGGCTTAGCGGGCTGACGTTGAGTGCCAGCGTCGTCTGTAACGTCTATAAGGTCTGTAATGAACTAAAGAAGTTCGGCATTCTAAGTGTAAGCAGTCAAGGACGTCAAGGAGTACTTGGTAGGTCCATTTGCTTGATAGAAGCTGTCAGATGGCTACTTTCATCTTCTCTGCACCTTTCATATTACCAGTTCACACCATATTGTTAGTTTCGAGGAACTAAGGAAAACGAAATCGATCCGCGAATTCGCTTTCGGCGAGCATGACAGAATAAACGCCGCAATACGCTCAGAGAAAATCATCACGATCACTTCGAAATTTGACCTCCACCGTACTTGGCTGAAGTGATGCATACCATGGAAATGTGATGAAAAACCCAGAATTTTATTTAAGTGCGTTTTTTAAAACAATAACGTGCCACGACACATGGGTTGATATCCATTGCTCTGTTATCTTCCGAACGAATTAAGCGATCAAAATCTTCCGCTTGTCTAGCGTAATGTGAAATATATATGTATATATAAACATATTTGATTATTTGTAACAATTTGAAGTATGTGATAGGTCGCAAGTAATTTTTCGATATTATAACTTGTATTCGATTTTGTCCTGTGAGCATCGATTGTTCACCAGCCGGATGTAGCCATATTAGCCATACTTATTATCAAATATGGCGTTGTGGGTAGTGCGGAATTGTCGTATTGCGAATTTTTATCGCAAAAGTGCCTTTTGTACAAAAGGCAGAGCACATATAAACACAAGAATTGTAGATGTGTATAAATTAGAACCGGTTGGATCGCATTTGTCAATTAAGGTTACTGGTATAACATTTTCATTCTGGGCGTTGAAATTGGTCCACGCTTATTGGTACCACCAAACTGAAGGCTTNCATCGTTTTTTAGTTAAAAGTATTTTAGATTTTGATAGAAAGTTGCGGCATAAGTTACATTTGCATGTAATAATGACGTAGTTGATTTGTTTTCGACGAGAAGGTTAAGTATGAAGATTGAGCAGTTGTGCCCAGATGTAGTAAGTGATGTGATGTAAAAAGGCAACTGGTTTATTTCAGGGCTGGGTGAAAGCTATGAGGAAGATGAAGGACATTGTATTTATCGATATAATTGATGGTTCCTGCTTAGAAGGGCTGCAAGTTTTGATTTCTAAATCTAAACAACCCAAAACATTGACATATGGTGCTGCAGTTGAAGCAGCAGGTTCCCTTCAGATGAATAAAAATGGACAGTTGGAGTTGGCAGCTGAGGATTTAACTGTAGTTGGGCCATGTATTGTGATAGATGGTTACCCATTTGCTCCTAGAAAGTCGTATTCCCCAGATTATGTGCGGCAGTTTTTGCACTTACGACCCAGGACAAGCACTTTCGGGGCTTTATTAAGAGTTCGAGATGCAGCATCACATGCTATTAATGAACATTTTCGTAATAATGGGTATATACACATACATACACCAATTTTAACATCAAATGACAGTGAAGGAGCAGGTGAAATCTTTAGAGTGATTCCTGATAATGAAAATTTGGTTAAAGAAATGGCAAAAGATGGAATGTCATTTGATGAAGCATATTTTGACTCCAAGACCTACCTTACTGTTTCAGGACAACTGCATTTAGAGGCTGTTGTTAGGTAATTATTCTTATTAGCTTAATTTTAAAAAGTAGTCAGAATCATTCTGTAATGATCATATTTTCTGTTCTTATGAATCATGTTAAATTAATTGGTTTTCAGAGGCCTGAGTAAGGTTTACACATTTGGGCCAACATTCCGGGCAGAGAACTCTCGTTCTCGACTGCATTTAGCTGAATTCTACATGGTAGAAGCAGAAACAGCTTTTATTGAATCACTAGAGGAACTCGTGAAAGTGATGGAAAATTTGATAAAAGATGTTACAAGCAAAATTGTGGGAAAGTGTACTGATGATGTTCGAACACTGCGTTCAGCAGCTGGAAATGAAGACTCATTATTATCTGTTCTTGAGAAACCTTTTGAAGTCATGACATATGAAGAGGCAATTGACATCTTAGATAGGCATTCAGGAAATTTTGTTTCACAGGTAGAGAGGGGGCAAGGGTTTGGGAAAGAACATGAACTTTATCTTGTGAAACATGCTGGTGGTTGCCCTGTCTTTGTAGTAGACTGGCCTCATGACATCAAGCCATTCTATATGAAACAGAGCTTACAAGATGTCTCAAAGGTATTTAAAGTAATTAGATTAAGATAATTTAACAATAGCAGTATTCATAATGTGATCTTCTGTGTTATGACATTCTATTGGAGTCAGTGTGTTCCATAAAAATGGTGGTGACCCACTTATCAGATTACAGAGTGTCAAAACCCTGATCAGTACAGTATAAGAACAAAAACCTCAAATCTCAATTTTAATTTCATGAAGTACATTTTGCCCAGAAGAATAATTATGGAGGAAGTTTGCTCAGCAGTGCCAGCATTTGAATTGAATGTGTATTCTGGTTAATGAACTAAAAAATGTAGGCAGAAGTTGTGCAAATAAGCAGGGTCTTTATTCTGGCTGTATGCAGTTTTATATGACCACCTCTATGGTGTAGTGATCAGAGTTTCTGGCTACAGATCCAGAGGTCCCGGGTTCAATTCCCGGTGCTGCCAGATTTTCTGAAAAAATAGTGGGTCTGGAATGTCCACTCACAACTCGTGAGCATAATTGAGGAGCTACTTGAATGGAAAAGTAGCAGCTCCAGTCTAGAAAACTGAGATCAACAGCTGTGGGGCACTGTGCTACAAGCTTGAAGGTTTCGGGATCGAATCCCGATGAGGTGGATTTTTTTTTTTCAATTTACCTACTCCTTCCAGCTGCACTATGGCCCTGGGGTCAATTCAGCCTCTTAACAGAAATGAGTACCAGGAATGTTCTTGGAATATTCTTTGGGGTAAAGGGCGGTTGGTGTGTAGGGCTGACAGCCTTGCTGCCATCTATGAGCCAATTTTCTAGAAAATGTGGGAACCTCAACATCTCACAACCTTATGGACCTCCACAGCCTGTTACAGGGATACCTTTACTTGTACTTACTGCAGATCCATTGCGCTGACCGTGAACCACCCTCTCTATCTGCAAAAGTTGGCACTAACTTCTCCAACAAGCGGTTGTCACTCAGTATAGCTTACCAGCTCTATTTTTCCTCTCATAAAGAAACCAACATTGGTGGGGAATAAAAATCTGCCAGTTCAAGTGAAGACGCTATAGAAATTTAAATGATTCAGCTTTTCATTTGAAATGTATAGTTTTTTTGACAAACCCTAAGGCAGACCACACACTGGCATGCATTGAGACATGTAACATTCAAGACTTGGTATCTGCGATATGACACAAAGAAAGGAGCACATTTGAAAAAAACTGCCACACAGTGGTCTGAGTCATGATGATGTCAGCGTTATGCTGACGAATCATGAATGAAGCAAGACTGCATCTTTTGTCTCGTGTCTTGATGCTTGTCTTGATGCAGTTGATGTGCGATCGCCCTGAAAGGTGTTTGAGCCACCACCTTCATTATGTCTAGAGTGCAGGCTTATATCTTTCAAGACAGGTAAGTACCACATAACAGTCATGTTTGCTGTCCATAACTTCGTCCAGTGTGATTAATTCATATTGTGATTTCCAGGAAAATATCATTAGTTGCCAAGCTCATATAGAATGCTTTGTTGTAAATAACTGCAAGAATTATCCAATGTTTGCAGAAATTTAATGCCCTTCTGTATGCTGTAATACTTCTGTAGGTTTGCCTTTTTTGTTTAGAATTTACCAACTTCAAATACACTGTGTAACAAAAATTCCTTGTCACATTGAATCTGTGGCTGTAGTACCATGTTCTGAAACAAATTAACTGTATTTTTCTTCAGGTTAGATATGGAGAGAGTGTGTTAAGAAATCATACAAGATTGACTTATTCTGAGAATTTTAGTAATTCATAGCAATAGGGAAATTTCATTTCATTTTTCTGACAGCATTTATAAAATGTGTAGGAATCACATAATGAGGATGAAATGTGTCTGAAGTTTGAATAGGGTGTATTCTTGATTATCTAAATTCTTATGATGTTGTATGATACTGAAGAATTAGTGGGTTTTTGGGCTCTGTCCGTTATTTGGTATTCTAAAGAACACATCATTTAAGAAACTGGATTTGTTTCTGCCCGGTGATTAAGATTAGCTCTTTCTACTGGACTCCACAGAGTGGGTGTCCCCCAC